CTCCCAGAGATAGTAGGCCTGTCTTCCTGGAATTGCAATCGTGGCCTACTCTCAATTTTGATGGTGAACCAGGCTCTTGTCCATTTGATTTAAAGCGCAAGGAAAGTAAGGAAACTACATCCAATAATAAGGAGATTAAAGAAAATAGAGAAAAATACTTTATTCCTAATATATCAAAGGTAATAGTAATGACATTGTTGAGATGAATTTTATGATACCTTTTTCAAAAGGTAAATACTTTTATAAATGTGCTTAATCTGCAGGGCAAAGACATGACTCGTAGGCCTCGTGCCACAGCAACACGCGCTCGCAAGACAGAAAACACTGGGTATTGTGAAATCTGTCGTATTGATTATCGAAATTTATCCAAACATCTACAGAGTGATCAGCATCTAAATTTTGTAAGGAACGACAAAAACTTTTTATCTTTGGATAATTTAATCAATACTGGCGCAAGCGTTGAAGCTTTTCTAGAAATTAATAGGTCCAAAGATGTCAGGTAAGAATTAATTCTAAAATCACAATTTTAAAAGTAAGCCGTTTCCTAATTTAATATTATACGAATTAATTTTACTTCATAGTAAAGATTGCAATCTGTTTCCCAGTCGAGATCACAGTCTTGACAATGGCATACTATCATTGGATGAAAAGTCGGAAAAAAGGGACAAGTCCTCCAACTTGAATGATTTCAACATCGAAGAAATGAAGATGATTCAGTGTAATGGTGCGCGTAGGAATTTAAATTTGAAATTAGACTCGCCTCACAATTTAAGAACTAGAGCAAAGCATGAAAGTGGCCATTTACTCAGGTCTAAAGGAAGGCCATGGCATGAAGATGATAAGAGTGAAAAATTATATGATAAGTATACAATTAAAAAGCGGGCGAAAGGAACCATTTGGATAGAAGAGGATGACTCGGAGGATGATAAGGATGTGGAAAATTCAAGAGATGGTTGTGATGGAAAATCATTGTTTCAAAGAATTTGTGAGCCTGAAATAAATAAGAATGCAACTAATAGGGAGAGTTTGTCAGAAAATGTGTCAGTGAACGGTGATATTGCTTCAAGTGTTGTCGATTGTAAACTTAAAGAGCACAGTTTGAGCAAAATTACTAATAGGGACAATACATTTAGAGACTCTTTGTTAGAAGAGAATTTTAAAACCAAGATCAATGGTTATGATAGGAAGGAAGAAAAACTTAAGTTAAGCGAGATTTTACATAGTGCTGAAAGTCAAGAACTGAAAGAAGTGAATCATGTGGAATTTAATGTGGACTCTTTAAGTCGAAATACTGTGGATAATAATACATGTAGCGATAGATTACCTACCCATGATATCGAGGATATAAATTCGCTTAAGAGTTTGAGCAAAGACGATCGCGGAAGGTATAAGCTGGCTAGGCGGGGGGGAAGGAGTTACAGGGGACGGCAGAGATTATCGGTCGAAGAGAGATTGATAGAGGACAATAGAGATTATTATAAAGTGGAAGTTTTGGGTAACAAGTTAAGGTCCAGTGCAATTTCAAATAGTAATGTTTTTGTATCCCCATTGAAGGAACAACTAGACAGAGCTAAGAAAGATGAAAAACCTTCGAGTGAAAAGCCTGTCGTAGTACGCTTTAAACGTGTGAGAAAGTCGGAACTTTCTTTGCTTAGTGACGAAGCGGAATCGTTCATGTTTGGAGATTCGCGACGCGACGACGATTCCAGTGAAACTAGTGACGGCGAACAAAGTAGTGTTTTACCAAAGGACACAGAAAGCGACAGAGACGATACTTCTTTTGTCTTGAGTTCTTCCCCAACTGCCCATATAACTCCAAAGCAGGAAGTTATCGAAGACGATCAGCAAGATTCATCACTGGCTGGACGGGCAAGAAAAAGAAGAAGAACCCAAACCGAAGCTCTCATTATGGATAATAACGATTATTATAAATTTGAGACTCCTGGCAGTAGATTAAGGTATAATTTTTAATATAATTCAGGATTTTCGTATTATCTTTGACACGCAATGGTGCTAGAATTTTTTTCTTTCTAAACATCTGAATAATTGAGAAAAATATCCATTGTATAGTATTTTGATAATTAAAACCATTCTAAAAAGCCAATATTTATTTATACGAAGACGATTAAAGCTGTTTAATTTGTGTAATTATTATATATTATAAAAAAAAAAAAATATTGCATATTATTCCTGAATGTTTTTCTTGTTAGAACCAATATGTAATGTAAATTATTTTATAAATAATCAATATAAAAAATTTATATAAAATTGTTTCTATATTTTGTTTTTGTTTTTGTAAAAATCCCACAACAGTACCTGTTCTCCACAAACGCAGACATTCATTTCTTATGTATCAAAAGTTGGAACTTGGTTTTTATTAAAAACAAAATTATATTATCGTCAATATGTCAATTGAGTTGTTTCAAAAGCAAGAAGTTACGTGAAATGTACAATATTAGAGAAACTAAGAGAATGGCATGAATGTAAATTCCGTTTTAAACTGTATTGTTAAGGCTACAGAATCCTATTATCTGTTTTGCAGATATCAAGCTCCTTTGACTGGTATTTGTGATCCAGTACCAGATAAAGATGCAGCTCAACCACTAGATCCAAATACAACTGAAGTTGTTGAAAAAATTTATCCGTCCAAACCTTCACCAGAAGTTGAAAAAATGCATTTCTCCTTTGAAGCTGTACCTAAATCGGAGCCATGGTATCAAACGTACCAACGACAAGACGAAGGTGCAGAGTTCTGGCATTACTTTAGTGAAAGTGATACGCCCAAGCCATTCCTTTTACCCTATGAAATTGAAAATTTTCATGAAATCCTGCACAAGAGTCTTCAGAGTAGCGTGTACCGAAAACGCGGCCGAAGCAGGGGAGGCCACGTGAATATGGGTAGCCGCTCGCCGAGAAAAAGTCCGCGGTGTCACGCGTCGACATTAGCGATAATGTCGACGATAATTAGGAGGAGGGAGCAACAGCAAACGACCACCTTGACTACCGTAGACGAGGAGGTTAAAGTCAAGCAGCAGCCGAGCGAAACTGTCAAACTTGAGAAGAAACTCTCAGATAAGTCGGACGTGGACGAGGACTTGAAGGAAATTGTAAAGAATCTCGACGATATGCTGAGTAGTAACGACATGCACGACATGGATTCGTTCGAAGTCGATCTCTTAAAGAATGTTGACGATGCCGCATTGGAGTCGGACGTTCTACCGAAAGGAGCTCCTGTCAATCTGTTGGAATTGCTTGATAACTGCCACGATACTGTACCACCAAATGGTATAGAGAATTCGTCTTGCGCCAGTTCGGAATGCGGCGAGCTTTACAACGAGTTCCCAATGAAGAGGCGTAAGAAGAGGAAAAATAAGACTGGTTGGCCGGGTAACAAAATGAGGCGAAAGCTGCACATTAAACACCTGAGCGAAGAGTTGCAAAGGGAGCTCGATCGCGAGAGGAGCATGGAGAGGAACGAAATGAAGCTCTCGAGTCTGGAGTTCTTCGAAGATAGTTCCTCGCAGGTGTCGCACGAGGACGAGGCCAATGATATCGAGCTAGAAACGGGAAAAGAAAACGAGCGTGTTCTCAATACGTATGAGCGTAGAGGGAGTAGCAAGCCTAGGCGGCCAAAGGCTAGAATGGGTAATAAAGAGTACAGGAGGGATCATTCGCAGGAGAGCAGCGAGATTAGAAATTCGGACGATATGCCGAGCAAAATGGTGTTAAAGTCCGTGTTCGGGGATGATATTTCTCCACGGAAAAACCGGTCTGGGAGTGCCGACAAATACAAAGTTGATGACGATGACGTCGAGACCCGCATTATAAAAGACTCGAGGCATTTAGAGGGTAAAGGAACGTTGTCGAGCATTAGCGAAGACTCCGAGGCGTCCCTGTCGAATAACGAAAATCTTTGTACAAAGGATACGAATTCGTTGATGCCGCGCGACAAGCACCTGCCCTTGAGATACACGCGAAAGAGCACGACCTCCTCGGAGGCATCGCACCATCATTCGGAGGCGGAAAATCGGCGGCACGGTGGCATCGGCTCGGCCACGAAGAAACAGCAAAAGGACGTGGGCGCAACTCGAAATCTTCCGATAAACGTGGACAAGAGGAGCCGACGAAAATCGAAGAAATACCAGCGTAACGATCGCACACCCTCCAAGGCCATATTCGATAACGAGAATTGCAAAAAGTCATCTTTTTTATCCTTAAAAGAGAGGAGGTTGAAGAGGGTGAGAAGGGAGGTGAGTGTGTCGTCGGAATTACCGAATGGCGAGTTGGATTGCGCGCTCGCGGAGCGCGTGTCACCATCGCTCGTCTCGTCCTCGGACGTTGACCAGAGGCGCTCGAGTATCGACTTTCAGCCCGTCGTCAGGGTGATGAAAATCGAGGACCAGGTGGATATGGACAATAGTATACTCTCGGTGGCTGTAGCCAGCAATCGCAGGCTCAGAAGTTCGAGCTCGCCGCGATCGAATATGCAGCCGCCGAACAAACGCTTCAGGAACGGTTCTGGGAGACGGCAATTCTCGAGCCAGTGGATAAAGAACAGTTGAAATTCAAGGCGATCTAGCGTCTAACTATATTTTTTTTCTGTATTTTGGAGATAATGTCAAATGTTGATGAGCTAGCTTCCGACTGTCAATTTTTCTAGAGAGATAAACGGTCTTCGCTCGTGTACATTGTGTACAAATGGTATTTGTGTATGTCTAGTATTTAAACATTGAAGGCACTTAGGAATTTATTAATTATATCATTGTATTAATTAATTATTATAATTTTTATTTTTTATTTAAGCTTCGTTTGCAGCATGCCTGCTACCTACGGTATTGTACATTCTTAAAGCGCGTTTTTCGCAACCTATCATTACTATTATTACTATTATTATTATTATTATCATTATCATCATTATTATTATTATTATTATTATTATTATTATTATTATTATTATTACCTTTGTATTAATCGCGCATTTTAATTATTATTCAAATTAATTATTCTTCATTCAGTTTTTTAATGTAAACTTGTAGTATATTACCTGTGAACTTCGATTTAAAACTCTTCGTGAGTTTAAAAACATAAACGAAGGGTTTTAAATTATTATATAAATTTCAGAAGATATTCTTCTGCCTCTTGTATCGTTTCTTTTTTTGTAAGTAGATGATCTTTTTTTTATACGAAAAGTACTATATAAATGTGCAAAGTCAGTACCGCAATAATTTTCAACCACGATCAAGGTGTTTTTTACAGTATGCAAGACTGCAAATAATACAGCTTTATTATACAATATTCTTTTTGTTATGAAAGGCATAAGATACATGTAACATTCTATTTTAAAGTAACTTGTATTGAGCAAATTTTTAGTATTATTCTCATCAAATCTTTTGTGCGATACATCTATGATAAAAAAGGTGCAAAAATCTACAACAAATTGTCGATATTACAGTACTAAAGGTTTACTCCAATCAGGAAAAAGAAATTTAAGTATCCTATTTGAATGAAAGATATTGTAAATCTGTCAAAAGTACAGAAATAGAAATGATTATTAAAGAAAATTGAATTTTCCACAAAAAAGATGGCTTATTTTTATTGAAAAATACAATCTACATATATGTGCTAGTGCGTATGTAAAAACTAAACATATTTTAGCTATTATTTACATCGTGCTGCTCCTTGAAGCTCAATTTTAAAGCGGCAAGTTTTTTTTGTCTTCTCTTTTTCTCCAATGAAATATCTTTCATTATTCTTTTTTCTTGATTCTCAACAGCATCTTCTTTATTATAAAACAGATCCAGTTTATTGATTAAAATTTTTTCAGCAATTTCTTTATTTCTTTGTTGACTTCTTGTTTCATGGCACTTAACAATGATTCCTGTAGGCGTGTGTCTTAACATAACTGCATTATTTGTCTTGTTCGTCGCTTGACCACCAGGCCCGGCACCTCTCACATACTGCACTTCAAGCTCTTGATCATTTAATTTTGGTACTTTGGAAAAATCAATATGTTTTTTTAACGACTTTAGATTATACGAGTATGTGAATATATTTTTGTTATTGGAAATATAGAGAAGTTTATTTGAATTTGTCAAGGGAATCATTTTTTTAAACATTATTTAAACAATTCTTTGTCTTTTCAGTACCTCTAATCCTTTCTGTAAAAAATGAAAAAATTCTCATTAACTTTAGGAGTGAAAATGTTTCGAGACAACGAATAATTTACCTTATAATGGAATTCTATCTCCTTTTTATCCGTTAGATTTCTATTATCCAGAAAGTCTTTTCTAATTCTGTGTATATAGTACTTTTTATCCGTGAATTTAAGGTTTGCGCCGTATCGTAGAAGCTTCTTATAAAGTTCTAAAATTTCTCGTTTAATCATTGTTTATCACGAGAATATCGATCGACTAAGTGCTTTGGTTATTTCTAAATTTACATTTGCATTCGTACACAGTGTTTGTGTATTATACGAGTGCAATAGCATATCCCAAAGATCTTTCTTTGCAAAGCCTTTTTCAAAGTTTAGGTTATGAGCTACTTAAGCGCATCCTTCTTTTGCATAACACCACGACACTTTGTCAAACACTCGTCATTGACAAGTTAAAGGAAGTTACCAAATGCCAAATGATAAATATACATAACCGATCCAACGAATGATATTTTACTACAATGTCATTTCCCGTGTTAAACACACCACTTCACTCCAAATCTATAAAAAGGCCAGCTTAAAGCAATACAACGTTAAAACGCTACAATAAATACTTAAAGTTAAAAAAAATTAATGATTTTTGCCTAAACGCTATTGTTCGATAGATTAAGCGGCTGCTTGTTCGAGCGAAAGGCTCTCTTCGTTACCGACTGCGGCCATCATTGGCGCGTCAATCGCTACTCTCCATTCAGCCTAAATATATCCGCAAAAAAGCAGCAGCGTTTGATCATACGTGCATAATAGCGTTTATCTGTCGCACAGAGGGAGCTTGAAAAATTTAATTTTACTCACACGTGTCTGTGTACGTGGTTGCGCGTACGTATGGGCGCGAGTTGGTCTTGTTTCTTATTATTCGGCCTCAAAATTGCTATTATCGAATACCTGCGAATTTTTTGCTCACCCGACAAATCAATTCAGTATATAATTGTGCATTGATTTATGGGACGGTTGGACATCGTCATCGCCCGTCTCGCGAACAACCTTAGGAAATACCAAATTAGTAAGTCTGGTCCCGGACATTGATTGTATCTCGTTGCGCCAAACATCGTTCTTCGGTGAGATATCGCAAGGAGAAAGAAAGGAATCAGGTAAGAAAAGTTGGGAAATATCTGCCGTACATAACCAATGCTAATGCTACGAATAAACTTTTCCCATGAAAATGTCAGTCCATAGGGACAGAAGAGAGACGCAAGATACCAAATGAAAGTGAGAGAGATAGAGTGAGAGAGAGAGTGAGTGTGTGTGTGTGTGTATATATATATATATATATATATATGTGTATGTGTGCGTGAGTGAGTGAGGTGGGGAGGAAGAGAGATAGAGACTGCGAGCGAGAGATATCGTGAGTGCGAGTGGGTATGAGTGAGGCGGCTGAGGAAGGGGTAAGCGAGAAGGACGGGCGGGCGTGAGGTAGCGAGAGAGAGAGAGAGAGAGAGAGAGAAAGCGCTATAGAGACAAAAAAAAAGAGAAATAGAATCGCGTTCGCGCGAGTGTAGGGGCTATACGTAGCTGGTTGGTGGCGCTTGTGTTCGCGATTGAAGGGAAGGGGGCTTCCTCCTCTGCACTCTCTGACAGCAACGGCCATTTTGGCAAAGCATATACACGTAAGGCTGCGCGCGCCACTACACACGCACCAGGCGTGCGCGTCGCGTTGTGTTCGTGTCCCTTGGTACCGCCGTGCGTTGTCCAGAATTCAGTCTGTGGCCAACTTCGCGTAGACCTAGTCAAATTCAGTTGCGCTCTTTCGTTGTATCGTCGTAACGTCTCGAATCCACACGGAGAAGGATCCGCGACGGCTGTCAATTCTTTGACGAGCAACGGCAGTAGAAGCAGCAGCAGCAGCAGCAGCAGCAATAGCGGCAAGCTATCACGAATTATCATCCCCGTTTAGTTCGGAGATCTTGTGAGGAAATCCCGTGACTGCCATCATTATTCACGAGAAGCAGTAAGAGAATCGCGTCGCTCCAGTAGTGCCCCTTATCGAGTGAGTAAGTCTGCTGCATAAGTAGTAAGTAACGTATATGCACGCACGCACTAGGAGAGAAAGAACGTTTGGGAAAGCCATTTCATTGGCTTTCATTCTCGCTTTTCGTTGTTCTCATAGACTTTCGTCGTAGTGCGTGGTCCCAAAGTTCGTTCTCTCACCCTCGCTCTCTCACTCTCTCTCTCTCTCTCTCTCTCTATCTCTATCTCTATCTCTATCTCTATCTCTCACTTCCTCTCTCTTAAAAGCGAGTAGTGAGCAAGTGTGCATGTGCGGAGTTGAAGGAGAGGCGTACGGTAGAGCGAGAGGGCGCGAGTATAGTTGCTCCTAGGAGAAGAGAGTGAGATGGCGAAATTGGTTGGAATAGGATAGAAAACGACGAATGATAGAGAGAGAGAGAGAGAGAGAGAGAGAGAGAGAGGAAGCAAGCGATAGTTATTTAGAAGAGGAGAAAAAGGCACCGTAAAGAGCACGTTAGGAAGTAATAGTTTAGTATTACTAGTAAAAGTGTAGTGCAGTAGTAGTAGTAGCAGCAGCAGCTATAGTCATAGCGATAACGATAGCGACAACGACAGCGATAGCGGTAACAGCAGCAGCCAGTTGCGATCGTGAAATTGCGCTCGACACGAGGAAGTGGTACGATTGCCGGGAATAATATTAGTGTGCGGGCTCGATGATAGTGCCTCGATAGCGTCTAGCACAACTGTCTGGCTCCGGGTGATTTCGCCTCTTCTATTTGGCGAGGGAAGACGGATAAAGGTCCTCGACCGCTACGTAAGTCGTCGTCTGGCTTTGCTTAATGCGATCTCGGTCTCTTTACCTTTCCCTTTCTCCCCTTATCGGTCTCTCCTTTTCTATTACGTGGTCAATGAGAGGGGTTGCACTCTGACGTCCCGTTTCTGTCACAAGCTCCCGCATTGCTCGTCGCGCGGTTTTTATTCGCATCCTATACGTTTTTTCGAGAATGAAATGGTTAATGTTAAAAGTACGCAACGTTGGATCGTTCAGCCCTCAATTTCCTTGCGAAAGATAGAGATAGAGAGAGAGAGAGAGAGAGAGTGAAAGAGGGAGAAAGAGAGGGAGCGAGGGAGGTAGGTAGGTTGGTTGTGACGGGGCGAGCTGTCCTCCCTCTCGTTAAGGCGTTTCTTGAAAAATCGATGAGCACGATTCGTTGACTAGGACGACTTCCGCTACGCGCTATATTGACCCTCGGGGTTGTCGAGAAAGCGTGGATTTGAATCGAGAATCGAACGTCAACGACTATTCCCAAGAATTTTCTTTTCCTACGAGCATGCCATCGTCGTTGTTTCTTGGTTAGTGGGCACAGGAGTAAAGGAGGTGCGCGCAATAACGACACCTGCGCTCCAAGTCGTCGCTATTCGTCAGGTGGCTCGTCCATCCTTTGGTCTGTTCCCTTGTTCGTCTACGTTTGTCAGTGAGTCGTACGAACGCGGGAGTGGGAGAGAAGTTCGCTTCGAAGGTATAAAGAAAAATAATTAATTCATAGCATGGAGAAATGGCAAAATCGACCGTGGAATTTTCATTCTATCGCTCGTGGTCGACATATTTAAGCTAGTCGGAATTGGCGCACATACGCACGCACGCATGCACACGTTGTGTTTGATCGATCGCCGTTGATGTGCGCCTGCGCACCTCAGCGCCGACCAACTCGCAATATTCACAGCTTGAAATTTCCAGAACGGACCACCTTGCCCCACGTGTTCTACATGCTTCGACGCAGCCTGAAACTCGCGTTCGTCGACTTACATCTTTCTTTCGTTTTTTCTTTTCTTTTCTTTCTTTCTTTCTTTCTTTCTTTCTTTCATTCTTTTTTTCATTCTTTCTTTCTTTTTCTCTCTCTCTCTCTTTTTTTTTTCGCCTCTTTTGTCGCTACAGCGGGTGACGACGAGGGCCACCTTCGATAGACGATCGGGAATCGGAGGAACGCGGAGAGGAGCACAGTCCGCGGGAATTAAGGAGTTACTCGATGGCGATGGTAATAGGGACAGCGCTCGGACATCGAGAGAGTATCCGTGGATTTTAATCGTTTGCGCACCGTTCGTACTTATATAAGTACTCCTCGAGCCGCGGCTACTTACGCTTATCATTGCGATTTATATCGTTGCTAATTATTGCTTGAGGGGCGTGTCGCGAAAGGAGGAGTATATGCGTTATTCGCGTGTAGTTTTGTCTCCTCGGCTTAGCTTTATTTACCCGTCTATGTTCGAGCAGTCTTCGTTAATTCGTGGAAGAGAGCATGTTGCCCTTAACCGTGAAAAAATCAACCAGTGCGGTAGGATTGAGAGAGAGAGAGAGAGAGAGAGAGAGAGAGAGAGAAGAACCGAGCGTGTTGGATTTGGCTCGTGTGCACGGAGGGAACCTTTGGCCTGTGCTGTGCCGCCTTTCTCTGCTACCGTTGTTGTATTGCAAAGACGCGCCCTCTTCTCGCAAAAAGCGGTGCTTGTAGCGAATGCTCGCTTGCCCGTCGATCTATTTTCGAATTCGCGTTTTATTGTCACTTTGACTCGGCCTGTTACGGCTCACATCATTTGTTTATGCGCGAACAAGAGCCGAGCTTGAATCGGCTATTTTGTCGCTCAGTTTGCGGCGACTTTATTGCACCTTATAAGCGAGCTTAAGTTTTTGTACTCTTAGTATTCAGATATTCTAAGAATACTCATGCACATTGATTAATTGTGGTGTACATTTATTTATTTAATTATTTATTTATTTATTTATTTTAACGACGAAGAGTGTCTTTCCTATTTATATTAGGTATAGTTGCTGAATTCAGCTATTCGAGTGCCAATCAAAGTGTCTAATGCTATTTGTAATAACATACGGATAAGTTCGAACTGATGCAAAGCGAACATGCGTTTTCTATTGTTCATATGCATACAGTCATGTTGTTTTATTTAGTTTAAATTGTCATTTACATTCCAAATAATTGTTATATATATTTTTATAATTATGTGGATTTAAGCATGTGATTTGTACATTTTACACAATTTTACACAATGAAAGGACTGTTAACGTGAATCATGGCAATTTTATGTTTGAGCGCGTGTGCGTAGTGAGTGTCGAATGATGTAGAGGTAAAAGGAATTCTAGAGTATATGGGAATAATTATATCATTATGGTGCAATTTCAACAATGGTGAAAATTCCATGAAATTAAAACGTTATAACTTAAAAATATATGTAAATATAATTTTTATTTATGAATTGACATATATATATATATATATATATATATATATATATATATATATATATCTAGAGGGGAAAGGAAAGAAAAGTTATCAGAAAAGAGGAATGCTTGTATATAATGACAGATCGAATCATTTACATTAGCGACTACATTAAAACTACTCTTATTTTAAATGAAGAAATTAATATTATTTTAATTTGATGCTCGAACACATTGTGAATAATTAGCGTAGGTATAGCGCTTTGTTAGATATATAATAGCCAATATAAAAATACATGTGATTATCATAGTATTTAGATACATAATAATGGTTTTTAGTGGTAGTATTGTTATAGTAATGTTGTTATTGTCCTCTATAATTCTATATATTTAACTAAAATGATAATCGTAATAATTTCATTAGGATATTAATGTTCGATATATTTCTCGAATTTTTGATGAAGTGTTGTCGTTACGCTCTTATTAAATTCGAGGCTCAAAAATATTATTTAACATTTTTCAGTATAATAATATGACAATATAGAATTATGGTCATATACAGTGTCGTCTACATTATTCATAAATGTTAATAATTCATCGAGCTTAATCGAACGGCTGGATCGATTCTTTACGTTGCAAACAAAACTGAAAAAGTAGATAGACAAATGACGCATCGGTATAAGCGAACGATTTGCGAATTGTCGTAAAACTTTCATGTGTGTTGGTAGGCTTGTAGCTTTCGTGGCGTTTATACGCCAGCGAAAAGAAAAACTATCGAGCCCAACACGTATCCTTTTATTGCACGTTTTTACACGCTATTTACTATTGGCCTGTAGAGCTATTTAACGTCCCCTAACCTCAATTCAGAATCGAATAGTAAAAAATAATTTTCATTTGCAATTAAGCTCCTGTTAA